CCTTTGTTTCCCTGTTAAGGGATTCAGGGACACTTGTCCATTTGCAGCATTTGAGGCTTCCTGTTGAAGGGCTTCACCTACCTGGAAAAAATCTGTGGTTATGAGGGGATTTGGCTAACAGATACCAAGGACTGGGAGGATAGACATCTATTATAAACACTATGATACGGGTTATGTTGGAGACATTTGGGAACATTTGAAGATGGTGCTGATATTAGGTAAGGTAAAAATATACTAAAATAGAAAAGGAGAGATACTTGATTAGAAAAGCGCGTTGAATAGTTTGAGCATAGGCTATTTGATCTATAAAGTATGACATTCTTTATACCAATCGCATATAGTCAAGAAGTAAGAGTGCTATTCTCTGGTGGTAGGAATGTTTTTATATTCTTGTTCTTAATATTTTCTAATTGTATAAACTGCACAAGTATCATTCAAATCAATAGGATAAGTAAAAATAAAATGGTGAAAGGAAATATTGAATGTCGCTTTGATTAAAAAAATAGAATTTGATGGTCTTAAGACTAAGGATGATCAACAACTAAGTAGAAGTTAATTCTGTTACCACCTCCTATGCCACGTCTCACCAAGACAAACACCAGAAATCTTCCCTTCTGACTACTTTGTTGAGGATATAATGGGGTGAGTGTTATTATTAACAATTATTATTGTAACAGGAGATTGTATGTTATATTATCACATTGACAAGTGTGATAATTTGATACAATTTTGAAAGTTTTCTCTGACTCAGGTTTGGGACAAGCTATAGTGCACATCCTAGTATATAGGTGAACTTTATGAGGTCAAAACACATTCCTAGGTTTCTACAGGTGTACAACTTGTCATGTCTTTGAGAATGCTAAGGGACCACCACTAAACACAAAAAGAGTCCTGGTGCTAAGTTCCTTCTGACTCACCCATAAAAATGAAAAGAATATATGTATGCTGAGTAGTCCTCACTTAGACACATTTCTGGTTGAATGTCTAAAGGCTCATGAGTAACGAACAGTTGGGCAACCCAGAAAATATTCTCTGGGAGTGTAGGCTATAATAATCTGTTAGTGGCCTGGTTATGTTCAATATTTTTACATAATTGCTTGGATAAGATAAGATATGGGAGTGCTTGTCAAATAACACCTACATATTCCATGAGAATATCTAAAAATATCTTTCCTTGAAAAGTGGCTAAATAGAAGTATGAAAAAAACCCACTACTATTAGTAATAGCTAAAACTCATGTATACGTATCATATGCCACACTCCTTTCCAAATGCTGTACCAACATTAATGTGTTTAACTGCCCTAAGCAATTTTACGTAGAAGGTGGTATATCATTTATATAAACTGTTGTTGGAGACAGCATAGGGCAGAGGTATAGATTTTGGAGACTTCAATTGAGCTGCCTCAGGTGAAATCTGGTATGGTGGATGTGTTCTGCATGAACTTGAAAAAAATCACTAATTTTCTAATTTTCTCTGTGCTTCAGTGATTGCATCTATAGAAAAGGAGGAGGACAGTTCATTTATTCAACAAACAGTTCTCAAATGCCTACTGCATGGTTATAACACCACTTACTTCTTCTCTAGGATTTCATTGCTTCCAAGGAAAAGAGACAAGTTTTCAACTGCATAAAAGCCACTCTTTTTAAAGGAATATAAAGTAATAATCCTTCCTTCATGCATGCAGACAATAGAGGCTGTTGGTTTCAGGTTAATACTATTTATCACACTAGAAAATATATTTCTGTTCCTAGTTTACTAAATTTTAATACAGAGAAATAGGTTTTAAGTTTTTCATGTATATATTGTAATTATTTTTCCCTCTGACTTTTTTATTTATTGAATCATGTTAACATATTTTCTTTAGTAAAATATAATTGCAAATTTTAATCAATACCAGTTTGGATTCCAGTTGCATATACTAGAGTAAGAACTTTTTAAAACTATGTCAATACATCAAACTCACTTCAAAATTTTTAAAATAAAATTCATTTTTTATGGGTAACGTTTGTTCTTTGTCCATTCTGATTAACGGAACAAGGACTGATTCTACCAAAACTGATCAACAGAAAGAGAAAAATTCTACCAATATAAATTGTAAATGAGAAGTATGTTATAATAGCAGAAGCAGAAATTGCAAGACAAACTGCAAACTTTCAGTTTCTGAAATTAATTATGTTAGTATAATTGAAAAATTATTAAATATTTCTCCTCAAAACATTTACTCAAGAGCTCTTAAAAATCAGTGAAAGGGATCTTTGGTATATTTTCTGTTTTTAGAGCACTATTTTAATATTTTCTCTACAATAGGGTACATTGAATATTCCAATTTACAGATTAACTAGTTACAGGGCTTATAAATTTGCCAATTTGGGCTTTCTAAAGAAAATTTTCATTTCTATTTAAAATTGTTGGCGAGGGAATAACTGGATTTATGTGCACATAGATATAACCAGGTGTGTTAATTTGAATCTTACCTTCTGAAAGTTTTTATTGAAGACGCCAAATTCCTAATGAATAACAAATTTATAACTAGAGAGAGTGTTACGTTCTCAGCTCTTTTTCAAGCTCTTTTCCTAGTCTCAGCTTTATGAAGTGTCAAAATTAATAGAGTAATTGTTTTCAAAGATGTTGCTTTTACATGAAAAGGCATTCCAAGTGGAATTTTAACTCCAAAAAATAATATTCTTCTGCAATTTAACTCTCATCTCTGTTGTATTAAAGCCAAAACATGAATTTGTGCAGAATGCTCCTAGGTTCAAACAGGGGCTGGACTTACTAAGCTTCTCCTAATGTAGTCTCTTTAAGCAAACTTTGTGTTAAGTTTTTCTGAAAACTAGCCTTTTTCAATGCCAATTTTCTTGCCTTTGAATGAAACCTATACTTAGCAAGGGATTTATTCACTGACTTCCAGTGACCCACTCTTGTCAGAACTTTCCCATAAAGAAGTGAAATTATTTGGAGTTTGTAGGGAGTAGAACAGACCTACCTCTCTTCTGAAGTGTTTCATCAAGTTAAAAAAAAAAATCATCCAAAGTGAAAGAAATGAAGAGTGATGTTCACTGAGAAGGAATAATTGCTACCATCTCCAGAATACTAACAGCATGAGTCAGCTTTCTCTAGAAGTATTCACAAGAGCTCATCAACTGTGAAGTCAGTAGTAAAACTTAATGCTGTCAACCGCACACCTGGAAACTAAGCAGTAATGACACCGCACCATCATTGTGTAGAAGCAGGCAAATATATTAACTTAATGATAGGCCAATGGACCCCTAAGGAAGGTGATCATGTTATGCCAGCTCTTGAATTTTAAATCATACACAACTGGGTTTTTAGTACTTCCCGCCCTCCCAATGACATTTTTGAAGTGTTCAAAGCAAAAGACGACAGAAGACATATGCTGCCCCAAATCACAAAGGCAATTTGGTAAAATAAACCAGCTTTGTGCCCACAAAAACCTCTGTTTTCATCATTTTTCTCAGATTGAAAGCAGTATCCACTTTGAAAGTCCCTATGCAAATGCCACCATCTGAAGCACAGCAACAGGCAGATATGTGTGAGATCATTCGAGTCTTACATGTTGGTTTCTTAAAGGAAAAAATAATTCTAATCTATCCTCATGTTCATACTTTTGTCTACCAAATTGCCTAGGTGTCTATGGGAAAGTGCACTCTCAGAAAATAAGTTTATAATAATGAATTAAGTGGAAAAAGAAAAAAAGAAGAATTTTGTACCTCTTCCACCAAAGTGCATGTAGTTAGCATGAACTGTACACAGATAGACAAGAACTTAAAGTTACACAGACAACTCAAATCTCTCTCTCTCTCTCTCTCTCTCTCTCTCTCTCTTTCTTTCTTTTTTTGTACCAGGGATCGAACTCAGGAGCTTGTGCTTGCAAGGCAGGCATGATGCCACTGAGGTAAATCTCTAGCCCCGTAATTCCATTTTTTAAAGTCAGCATTCAATCAATGTTTCGGAGATTATTGCATAGATATGAATTTCTAACTTCTTGTAAAATTGGAAGACATTGAATAATTGGATTTGTGTTTGAGCCATGAGATAGCCATCTGGCTTTTGTTTGTTTTTATGTTTGTATGTATGTATGTGTGTTTATGCATTGGTAGTTCCCCTGGGCCTTTGTCCTGAGCTATACTCCTATCCCTTTTTTAATTTTTTATTTTGAGATGGTCTCACTATGTTGTTAAATTGTCCAGGCGACTCTCAACCGGTAATCCTCTTTTCTTATCCTATCAAAATCCTATCAATATGAACCACCACATCCAGCTGCTATCTGGCCTCTTAAAAATGGGGTCTTTGCTAGCCATCTGTTGCAGTCCCCAACCTAACACTCATTCATATCATAATACTGGAAAAGGCAAGTAGATTAAGAGAATTCCAGGGACTCCACCATATTAATGAACCTTCTTTCTTCTTTTCATGTGCTTACCTTTCAGATATGCCCTCAGTGGTCAAATTAGAGGATGTCTATGTCCTTTTTCAGAAGTTACATAATCTATGAGTACAGATGTTGTGATAAACATTTGACAACAGATTCACTATACAAAAGCAGTCAACACTAAGTAATAAAAACACTGTGGGATTGATTTCTCAAATTAGTTAATTCTATTACCAATAAACAAGATGCTTTTAAAATTAAATTTAAGGCTAGAAGCCAAAATCAAAGTAGAATAATGAAGAGCTGGATATATATTCAATTTATCTTTTGTCCTTTCCCTATTTCTTTTAGGCCTGAGCTAGTGGACATGTTTGTTAAGCAAGATACATGGCCCTTAATTAGCCCACTCTAGAAAGAACTTAATAAATTTATCATTTCTAGTGTTCCATATCATTGCAATGCCACTAAAAACAGCAAGCCAGAGTGGATTTAAACACAAAATGGTTGAATACGCATGCAGGTGCATGCACATTTAATAATATTTTAACAGTCTTCTCTTGTATTATTGACATTACACCATGACCTTCTAAAGGGACAATTCTTACCTTGTTAATGGCCCCAGATCGCCTGAGTCTTGGCTTCCAGCTTCACTGGGAGTGCTCACTGATTTCGAAGAGGGAGACATAGGGGTTGGGACTAAATAATGAAAATAACAGGTATCCCAAGTTAAAAAATGCAGCGGCTGCACTGGTAAAGAGCAGTGTCAGACAAATCAAAACAAATGGACCCAAATAAAAGTGGTTGTACATTGAGATGGGGATAAGGGGGGAAAAAAAGGAAAGAAAAGGAAGAAAGTCAGGTGAATTTTTCATACTTTAGAAATTAAAATTTGAAATGAATTTAGACAGAATCAACTTGGGGATTCAGAGGCCATGTCCACCCTAACAAAGTAAGATGGAGAATCAAGATAGCTATCTAGATAATTCAGGTCAAATATTTTGCTAGCGTGAACTATCTAGATAATTTGAATTCTTCACTTTATTTTGTTAGTAATAGATTTGACCCATTAAAAATAAAATGGGTGTGTATAAAACTTTAAAGACTATGAAATATGCGATCCTGAATAATTTTAAATGGCCAAAAAAAGTCAGAAAAATCTATTGTATGTATGCTTTTGGGGGAAATGCGTTGCCCAGGGCCTGCCAACTGCTTTGCTATGAGAGACTAAGTGACAGAGGAAGGTTGAATGTTAAACCCAGTAATTTGAAAATCTCTTTCAAAACAAAGGAAAATGCCAAGTTGCTTTATTTTTACATTTAATTAATAGTTTCAGCCCACTGTACTGTTTACTGCCTTTGCAACTTGTTTTCCTTCATCTGCAGCAGCCCTCAAAGATACTCCTACACCCCCAGAGGTGAACTGCCAATCTGGAGACAGGAGAAACGAGTTCAAAGATCAAGGTCAGCACAAGCTGAAAGTCTGAAAGGAAGGATATTAAAGAAAAACAAAGCTAAAGGGAATGTAAATGTATTTTTTTGTCTCTACTCTCTAGATATCAGTCAAAAGTCCTTCAGCTAAATGCTACACTGAACAGCCAAGATGGCTCCTGGCCAGATGATTCAATGGGCTCCTAATATCACACATGCCAAGGAAGCTATATGAGTAGAGTGAAACTTCAATACAGAAGCGTAGACTTCCATTTGGTTTCAATCATGTGCAATTTCCTTTTATTTATTTAATAGGGGAAAGGGCTTAACTATTTTGTCCAAATCTTATACCACAATGGCAGATCTGTCAAGAAACTGGGAGTTTTTGTGAGGTTCCACGATTAATTCACTGATTACCCTCCAGGCTAAATCTGAGAGATGGAGGAAAAGTGAAAGTGGAGTCCATCCTGGTCAGGTCCCTTTGGCAGGGCTACAGGAACAGTTGAGAAGTTAGTTATGGTTTAGAGATAGTTAAGTATTTTATTCTTAAAGTTTAATTACTGGCACTATATAGGGTAGGAGAGAATAAGATACACCACTACTAAGTTTAACTAGTGTTCACAAGGAAACAGCATTTCAAAGACTATTTTGAGGCACAAATATAATTGATTACAAAGTGTCTAATTTATATCACGTGTTAGCTAAGTATAAAGCAGTTTTCAGGCTTCTCAAAGAAGGCCTATCAAATACTCTACAGGTGACATCTTCCACAACGTAAGAAAGATAAACAAAATTATCTAATTTTATTAGGGCTTACTATATATATTTTAAACATTTTATTTTACCTACTATAAATTGAGATTGAGAATTTTTAAAATGGCATTCTAGTTTTGTGTGTATGCATTAAATTATATCCAGCAATACTTATTAATTTGTAGGTTTATATATTCTTTGTTATTCATATTAATAGAAACAGTTATTATACATGGAAAATTGTTATTTTTAAGTAGCTATGGAAATAAATAAAATTTAATTTTAATATAAAAGCTATTAATAGACAAATGTTGAATCATTTAAAACAGACCTAATATATTTATTTCTGTGTGTTCTTTTCACTAAATTGGATACCATAGTTTTACAGACACCCTAGGATTACTCTTGAATGTATGAAAAATAAAAGAATAAAAGAAAATAATATCACATGAGAGATATATAGGTAAGTGTCAGAAAAAAACACATGCACAAGTACATTCAACACAAATAAAACACATAATGTATATCTAGACCCTAGTAATAAAAGAAGCTCATGGACAATCCTCTAGGAATGAATGAGTTGGAGGAGGAATGTTGTAGTGAAAATGTCAATTAGCAATGAAATCAAGATATACAATAGAGTAAAATCAATTTAAACTTATTAATTAGTTGCTAATCTGCCACCATTTTAAGTTTCCTTCAAAGTTCCCACTGAGAATTCTTTCCCAACATGGAATAACTCTGTGCTTGTGATGGTATAAAAATTTACACATAGATTCACAGGATTTGGGTAGGCAAAGATAAATTGGAGTTCAGCAATGAAAATGAAAATGAATTTAATAAAAACAATCTAAAATTCCAAATTTTCAATTAATAAAAATTCCAAGATTTCTTGTATTTAACAAATGGAAAACTCATTTAATAAGTATAAAAAAATTAACTGGCAATATAATCAAGACTTTTGGCCATATAATTAGTCGATATCAATCAATAAGCAGCAAATTACTAGCGATCCTACAACCTTTCTTCCCATCTCCTTCCAACCCCCTCAATTCCAAAAATGCATGCAACTTGAACCATAAGCCATAGAATAAAAATTAAAAACCATAAAGATAATAGTTTGTAATTCTGAACATGGTATATCCCACACGACCTTAATTCAAGAAATAGTAGCACAAAGCACTCTTGAGTACCTAGAGGAGGCTCAGGAGATATCCCAATGCTCTGTAGCAAAGCTTCTGTCTCTCGTCGTTTACGATCCAGATCAGAGTCATCCTGAGCAGGTTCTTTCTTCTGCTGCATATCTGCCTAAAAAGAGTAGATGTCAGTAACAAAAGTTAATATAACTAAATGTGTGATTTGCCTCCCTAAAATGGAGAATAGTAAATATATGACAGTGAAGATTACTCAAGAGCCCTAAATAGATATAATCACATGTATAAAGGATAAAAAGTGTAACTTCCATTTAATAATTACTGATCAGATATTCACTTTTTCTTTTGGTCAAAGGTTTTTCTTTCTCCTGCCTCTATTACACAGAATGAAAGTTTATGTCTCTCATGTTTGGAAGAAATTATTCAGGCAAAGTATTTTTCACTGAGGCTCTAAATTCTTTTTTTAAATAATTCTGTTTTTTAGACATTCTTATCCTTTCTGGAGCATCAACTCAATGGCTATGTGTTTGTAATATTCATGGCCCATATTTGGAATCACTTGGATCTGGTTAAAAAGTAAAATTATTCATGAAAATCTGTGACAGTAAAATACATTATTTAATTTAGTATAAGTGTAATATGCTTTACAAATAAACTGGTCTAGAATCTGTATTAAGACAATACAGATTGATAATATAATACTGCCATTATTCTTGTTACCAAACTCAAATTTTCATAGGACTCCATAATACACATTATTTCAATAAAGAAAATTATGTAGATAACATAGTGCAAAACACCACTTAGGAGAATTTTTTACAAATTCTGTTTAAAAACTTACTCTGGGCTTGCAGCTCTCATCCTAGCCCCCCACCTGAGCAGGACCAGTGGGAGGTGGAACTGCCTGGTGGTGCTAGTCTGCAGCTCTCCCCTGCCTCTGGACCTCTGCAGCAGACCAGTAAGAGGGGGAGAGACACTGGCACCTGCAGCCCTACCCCACTGACCCTGCACTCCTGACTCCTGGCTGTGCTGGATTCACACCAGAGAGGCACAGGGGGTCATAAAGTCTACTGTCCTGAGCTCTAGCTTCAATTTTGATTTAATTCATACAGTTAAAGGTGATAGATTAATAACTACCAAAAACTGTCATTTTCTAAACTGTGCTTGATGCTTTTGTGTTGCTGATTGTATCACTTGGACTAAGATGTTGATTAATCTAACCAGTTGACCTTCCTAGTATAAAGAAAAGCAGATTGCTTCAGAGTCATTAGAGACTCAAAACCTAAAGGTAAGCTATAACAAGAAGATCAAACAAAGGACAGTACCACCAACAAAAATAGAAATGGGAAGACATTCAAACAAGGCTCAAACACAAACATGGACCTCCAGTTTACCATACGCAAATTCTAGGGTAATTGAGGTGGAAAAGTCTGATCATCAACCATCTGGACATCCTGAACTGATAGTACAGGAAGTAACAAAACAGATGAATGAGGATCTAGAAAAATTCAAAACAGAAATAATTTCCCAGATAACAGCAGAGGTGGTGAGCAGAATGAAAGACAGGATTAGAGTCTCCAGAACAGAAACAGATTAAAAAAATGCATGATCTCAGGATTATGACAGAAGCCATGAATGCTCAGCATAGGAAAGAAATGGAAACCATGAATGCCCAACATAAGAAAGAAACAGAATTCATGAAACAGAAGAAAATGGAAAGACATCCCTTGTTCCTGGGTAGGAAGAACCAATATAGTGAAAATGGACATACTGCCAAATCTACTATACAGATTCAATGCAATCCCTGTTGCAATCCCAATAGTATATTTCACAGAACTAGAGAAAACAATAAAAAAATTCATGTGGAACTAGAAGAGACCTAGAATAGCAAAAGTGACTCTAGGCAACAGAGACATGGCAGTGGGTATCACAATCCACAACTTGAAACTATACTACAAAGCCACTGTGATAAAAACAGCATGGTACTCGCAAAGAAATAGACCCGAGGATCACTGAAATAGATTAGAAGATGCAGAAACAGCTCCAGACATACTCAACTACCTCATTGTTCACAATAGGAGCCAACCATCCTCACTGGAGGAAAGATAGCTTCTTTAATAAATGGTACTGGAAAAACTGGATTTCAACTTGCCAAGATTAAAACTAGACCCCTATCTTTCACCATTCACTAAACTAATATAGAAGTGAACTAAAGATCTAAATATTAAAAGAGAAACACTAAACTTGTTGGAAGATAAGCTAGGTAGAACTCTTGAAAATATCGGCATAGGAAAAGACTGTATGAGCAAACCCTCAGTAGTACAGGAACTAGCACAAAGAATCAACAACTGGTATCTCATCTTTTTAAAAAGCTCCTTTACTGCAAGAGAAACCACCAGCAGAGCTAAAAGACAACCTAAAGTATGGGGAAAAAAATTTTACCAGCTGTTTCTCAGACAAAGGTGAAATAAATATATAAAATATATAAAGAAATAAATATATAAAATATATAAAGAACTCAAAAAAATCTGCCCCCCAAAATATAAAGACCAATTCAAAAATGGGCATCTGAAATAAACAGACATTTCTCAGACAAAGAAGTAAAAGCGGCAAATAAATATATTTTTAAAATGTTCAAAATCACTGGTCATTCAAGAGATGAAGATAAAAACAACACTGAGATTCCACCTCACCCCAGAAAGAATGGCTGCTATCAAGAAATCAACCAATAACAAATGCTGGTGGGGTTGTGGGGAGAAAGGAACCCTTCTCCATTGTCTGTGGGTTTGCAGACTGGTGCAGCCACTGTGGAAATCAATATGGAGATACCTTACACAACTAGGATTGGAAGTCCCATTTGACACAGCTATTCCTCTGCTGGGCATCTTCCCAAAAGATTTAAAAGGAGTATACCATAGCAATATATGCTCACCCATGAATATGGCAGCACAGTCTGTAACAGCTAAAACTTGGAAACAGCGCAGTTGCCCATCAACTGGAGACTGGATAAAGAAGATGTGGCTTGTTTTGTTTTGTTTTTATAAAATGGAGTACTACTCAGGTATAATGAATGAGAAACTAGAGACATTTATAGCTAAGTGGATGTACACAGGACATACTCAAGTGAAATTAATAGGACACACGTATAAATAATGTACAGTTTCTCTGGTGTGATAAACTAAAAGTGTAAATAAGGGTCAAAATGTATACCTGATATTGTGTAATAGGAAGAAAAGGTCTAAAGGTATTGAGCAAATGGGAGAGATAGGGGAAATGTAAAAATGGAAGAGCAAAAATAAGAGAATAGGAAAAAAATGGAAACAAAGTCTTTCTAAACAGGGAAGGGTGGAGGTGGGAAGAGAGGCTAGAATGGGAATGGAAAATAATAAAAACCAAGATTCAACACATAAAGGTACAAGATACCAATGATGAATTTAACTGTATTTTATATCTAATATGTACAAATAAAGATTCAATTTATAATTGAAAAAATAAAAAATAAATAAAAACTTACTTTGTGTGAACCTCTTAACATCAGGTCATATCTCAAATCTGAGTTTTCATAGGATAATGACAATTTAAAATGCACATGAAGTACTGGTTGAGGTATTCTGGATGAACTTTTACAGGCCCATTACATAGTTATTATTCAGGATGAGGAATCTGCCCACAACTGTAACGTGAGAAGGTTAATGTGCAGCAACCGCCCAAGAAAGCTTTCTGAGCATGTGGACGTGAAGCTATCACAAAGCTTGTCTGAAAACAACTATTGAGTGAGCAGACATCCCTTCTTCTCCAGAAACAAGCTGAATATCCTAACAGCTACAAGACCTCCATCGGTTGAGAGACGTGTAATCTATGTCCTGGTATTTGAAGCAGAAAGAGTTTGTGCCCCTAACTGGAGTAGCTGCTCCATTTAATAATTACTGGCCTGGTGACTTAGCCCCAGATGGGAGCCTGAACTCTGATTATAAGACAAATGCATCATTGCACATGACTATGGGCTCCACAGTTCTGTTGTTACTCACATTGGGTTTGAAATGCACTTGCATTTTTGAAGTCTCTCATTAGAGGGAAAACTGCCACTGTGGAGGCCAGTAAGAACTAAGGAACGTACGTGAGGATTTCAGCCCTTTTACAGACCCCCGATTCTGAAAGGGCAGTGTAATCTCCACCGTGAAGATACAAAGTTTTTATGCTCATTTCCAATTGTAGCAGTAAAACACTGAAATGGGCTCCCAAGGATAAGTGTACAACAGAATAAAAAACAGTGCTAAAGGAGAAAAGGGAGCCTGGAGAGCAAGGATCCTGTTCATGGTTAGTTGTTATAATGTTTAAAGAAGGATGAAAGAGAAAGGGAAATGAAAGGAAAGGTAATTATCATAGCAGCTACAAAATGCAAACAAAAATATTAAGAGAAGCAAAATTTGTCTTAGAAATTTGACATTGGGCAGAACGGTATTCCAGTGAGGAATTCAGGGAAGAGTAGGCGAACTGTCAGCTTTACTGAGAGCAGATATATGATTGTCCTGTTCACCACAAAGTTCTCACTCCAAGATGAAGGCCAGGCACATAGAAGACACTCAATTAAAAATGCATTAACATCTGCCTTTGGTAAGTATTATTCATAACTATAGAATCTTAGAACTATGCATCATTTAGGCCATAACTCATCAACGATACCTTACTCAAGAACCCCTCTGATAACCTGATAGAGCAAGATATCTAAACATCATTCAGAGACCTGGCCCTCACAGCAAAGCCATTTCTATATCCTAGCAACAAAAATATCTTTAACTTTCCCTCATTCTTTCAACAAAAATTTACTGAAGGGCATCCAAGAGTCAGTGGAAATGAAACTGAAAAGTCTCAATGGACCTTTTATAGAGTAACTAGAAAAAACGTCTGACTGATCTATCCCCTTTAAACCAACTTAGGACATATTATCCACAACTTTTGTCATGTCATGTCCTGTGCAGAAAAGTATAGGCTCTGTTTCTGGATTTTTGAGATTTATTCCAATTTTAACCAGTAAGCATTCAAGAAATATAGGGTAAATTGCATATCAAAATGTGTAACCACATATTGTACAAAAACAGTAGCTCTGACTCAGAATATTCTTTCCACAACACAAAGGACCTCTGCAACTCATTCTTTGCTTCTGTCCCCCTTTAATTCTTAAGGAAACAAGCAATACAATGGGATCTATTAGTTAGGATAAATATCTACCTAGATTAAACAGATGCTAGGAAAACTATCAACACTCAAAGTTGACCATTCAATTAGGTCACTGGTGCTTACTGGATATAAAGATAGTTACCACTAAGGACCTTAACCAAAAACAAGAGTTACTTCATCCAAGACAATGACATCAAGTGACCTAGTCATGAAATTTTTTATTTTTCCTGGGCACATGCTAGAGGACCCTACCTTAATGTTCTAATGATTTAACAAGGAGTAATCCTGCAAGACTAGTAATTAAAACTCTGCAAGGTGCCTTTCCCAGCCAGTGATATTTCTGTTTGTGAGGCATAATCACTGCTGAGACCCAGAAGGAATAATAAAAACAAAAATAAAAAGAAAACTTGCCAGCTGAGAATTGTCAATCACTTTTCAAAGACAGTACCACATTTACTAGAAAAATAAGCATGGCCAGGCTGGGAAAGCCTGCCCTTCCCACCTTCCAGCAACTGGGTCTAAGGCAAGGACAGGACACAACTTCAGAGTGGACCCCATCAAGCTCCCTTCCACGCATTAAAGCCAATGTTTCATGAAATCGGGCCTGTGTCTTAAATGGTGACCGCTATATTTATTTTAAAATCAGATTTCATCCATCATGCCACAGCCAAGAAAACAGCTGACATCTAAAGAAGCTCAAAGCGGTGATTTTATCCACATCTGTACACAGTTTTCCGCATTCTGTGGAGATGATCAGTGTGGGTGGTCCTAGTTCACTCTAAATCATCACTCAATTTAGCCCCAAAGAGCAGTTTGTTGCTTTTTAATTTCAAATGTATTTAATTTAAAATACAAGCCCAAAGCAAGTTTATGAGAATCAAAACTATAAACTTAAGGCTATTTATAATTCTCTATAAACAATATAAAAACTAGAAAATCTTAAACTTAGGAGCCAATGACAGAGGCTTTTGACTAAAGGTCTACTATGTGTCAGAATCTGCACCAGACATCGTTTCAATGATTTTTTTTAAAGGCAAAACAAAATCAACATATAGCATACAGACCTAACCTCAAAAGCATGCAGTATTTTGGGAGAGAGAGATCCCTGAAGAGGCAAGAACAAAGTTTTCTGTGCTAATGATTTGATCAGGTCAAGGACAGGGTGCAGAACCAACCTAGTGATGGGTGGACAAAGGTGTCACAGGTGGCTTTCTGGAGGAAGTCACATTTGAGATAAAAACTTAAAGTCATGCAGCTGACAGCCAGGTGAAGGTATAGAAACAGAAAAACAGCAAAAGTAGAGGGAAGAGAACTGTATTAACTCTGCACTGAGGAAGCAAAATCCATAATGGGATTTATAAGTGCAGGCTGAGCATCCCATTTAAAAATCTGAAATCCAAAATGTTCCAGAATCCCAAACATTTGAATATTGGTGTGCCACAGGTGAAGAATTCCACACTGTGAAATTTTGTTTTATGCAGAGAACTACTGAAAATGTTGCATAAAAATTCCTCTAGCCTATGTGTAGAAACAAAAGTTTTGTGTTCAGACCTAGATCCCATCCCCACCATATTTCATTGTATACATGCAAATATTCTAAAATCTGAAAAACAAACACAAAAGCACTTCTAGTCTTATGCATTTCAGATGAAAGATACTCAACCTATATCAGAACCCAGCTGGTAGGTGGATTTTAAGGAGAAAAGAAAAGGCCAAGAAAAGAGAATCTCAGTTATAACTGCTTCAAACCTGATGACTGCTATAAATTGGGGAAGGGGACAGGACAAGAATGAAACCAGTTTTATGATTTAGACATTTGGCTGAATAAAAGAGTTCCTCCTGAGGCTTCAGCTAAATAAGGGCTACTTCTAAGGTTCAGACCTTATTTCTTTGATTGAAAAAAGAGATCAGAAGAGATTACTCTCAGCTTTCTTTCATGCATGCTATCACCACATGAACTAAAGAACTTGAATGATAAAATTCCTTCAATAATGGGGCATTTTTGAAAAATGCCTCACTAGCAGTGATCCTGCACAGTGTATATATCCATTTTGTGAGGCCCTTTCAACCACTCTGGTTGCTGGTCTCAGAAGCCAAATGAGAGCTCTTTCTTACCATCCACTTCCCCCGTGTCCTTCACTGCCCTGAAATACCTTCCTGCCCCCACACAGAGATCTATGAGGAAAGCAACACTCTTTTCTCCATGTTATAAAGGAGGGAACACGCTCAGTTAGGCCCTCACTAACGGCCATTCTCCAGGGCCTGAAGGGCAGAGTCAAGTTTCCAGGCCACATCCTACTCAGAAGCTGCTGAGTAGCTACCAGGCTTTTTTGCCTTCTGTCCAAATAAGTTATCTGCTCAGAACAAACCAAATCTGCACAATTTGTGAAAAATGCTTACTCTGAAGAGGGAAGATCTTTTGAGGGGAGACAGGTTATAAAGAAAGATTTAGAGCCAGAACAAAGCTTAAAGATGATGCAGGACAGTGCATCACAAAATCTGGCCCTGACTTGGGTCATGGAACAGATCGGAACAGAAACTATGGATGTGAGAATAAGACTGAACTGTTGTGCAAGTCTGTGGGTGGACTGAACCCACCCTGTCAGTTTAAAAATAAAGACTTCATGTGAGTTTAATTCCAGAACCAAGTAAAGGCCAAGGAATAACGAAGTGTTCCTTCCAGATGTTCCCCACTCCCCACCACCTGCCAACCCCATATCCAAGGGTTCTTTCTGCTGTGTAAAAGGCCAGATCTCCATCAGGCAAAATTGTTATAGAAACAAAAAAAGCAGCAAGTCTGGTTTGCTTGTAACTCCCCCAAAATGTGTAAATTGAAAAAGATGAAGCAGACAGCATAATTTGGAGCCAGATTGCCTATATCACATCACATTTCGTGGTAATTCTATGAAATTCAAGCTGGATATTAGAATGTCAGTTTAAAAGGAAACTGGTTATTAGTAAAGGATAACAGGTGCTTTGTAGCTACAGTAAGTGTTGACATTTGAAGGAAAGGAAACATAATCACTTAACGCCTTTTTTTTTTTTTTACTTTGCATGGAAATGACTGCAATTCCTTGTCAATTCTCACCTCTGTTTCACCCAAAAACTGCATATATAACTGCAAAGATCTGTAAGGGAAACCATTATGCACAATGTCAAGGACAAATAAACTATCACATCAATCAAAGTGTAATGGTAAGAAGAGATAGGAGATACCAGAAGGCTAAAATGCAGCTGCAATTATGTTTTACTTTGTGGAAAATAATAATTATTATAAAACTGTTACTTTGGTCTTCCAGCTTTATGAAACAATACTTACTTAGATTACTGAGCATCAAAACACATTTTATTGTTTCCTTAAGGAAAACACTGCATGGTGACGCAGCTCTGGTTTCTGTATATACAAATATATCACACGATACAAAACACAAAGATTTCTTCCTACAAATATACTTAGGATTCTAGGCTATTTCTGCACTGTGGTGACAAATTAGAGAATTTAAAAAAAAAATATTTCTTCAGCTGAAATAGTGGGAAAAAAAAAACCATGATGCTCCAGCTAGCATTGAACTGGGAGTCCAGAGTCTGGAATTGTGGTCCTAGCAGCAGAAAAGCTATGTTTCACTGTGGGGTCCTTGCTGCTGCACTGTTATAAAGAGACGCCCAGTGAAGTTCTTTAAAATCTCTCCAGCTCTAACTCCTAACAACGCTGTCTTACACTGTCCTACCTTCTTACCTCTTTTCTCTGTAACCAAACCTGAGATTCTTATTCACTGTGAAAATTATGTACCATGTAGGAAGCAACGGAAATGCATCGGTGTCATTTTCTAGCTCTCTTCTAAAATGTTTTGCCTGGTACTTAAAAAAATATCTTTTCTTAAAACTAATATTTACTATGTACTAATTATAAAATCCTAAGTATTGTCAATGGCTATGCAAGATTAACTCTCTTAAATTTGGTAACCCCACAAAGTAAATATATTATTGTTTCCATATTTAGAAGAGGAAACTGAAGAGCAGACAAGTTAAGAAATATCTAACAAAAAAGAGGTAAAAGACCACCATTGGGATGCAGTTCTAATTTAGATATTTGGGGCCTGGTGCTTGCAGCCGTTTGGCCAAATGCTGCCTACCACTTACCTAGATTGTGCTAGACAGACACCTCACAATGACCTTACTGTTCCAAATATGTAGATACCCAATCAATTTATTTAGACACCATAAAAGAATCATTTGAAGAGTCTTATTTATCCATTTAACTAATCCCTTACCATCAAGGGATTTTCCTTTTACCCCACAGCACTACGAGACCCAGCATTTACCTCCTTCCTTTTTCTCTCCTCTTCCTTCCGTTTCTTCTCTTCTCTTATCTGTGCTAAGCGCTGCTTTTTGCGCTCAAGCTCCGCTTTCAAGTCACTTTTATCAGACATTTTGCTTTCCTTAGAGAAGACTAGAAAAAAAACAAGAAAGAATACACATTAGAATGTATTATCTTTTTGGTATTATCATTACAAGAATCTTTTTTCTATTATCATTACAAGAATCATTCAAAAGGAAATGCAGCTTGAAAATGTAACTTTGGGGTAATGACGAGTTATATTATTTAGCCTATGTTGAAGGATAGAAGAAATTAAGTTACATCTAACCTAACTCTATATAAATCTCTTCTTATTACGTCTACCTAAACAACTAAAGAAATACAATTTTATCATCTGATTTGAAAAAAAAAAGAGCAACTTACTTTCGAATAACCATGACATTTTTTGTATAAGTTTCTTAAATAAACAGAAGCAATAAGAATCAAAAAAGAATCATCATGACTTCCAATTTTGATGCTACTGGAGCAATTCATCCCCACAGTGAGGAAAGAAAATATGGTACTACAAACCCTTTGAGATCTGCCCTGCTCAAATTTCTGTGGACTCAATAAACATTCCTGTATTGAGCTTCAGTATGTAGAGATTTCATTTTGCCTAACATTATATGCATCAGGGAAAACAGCTGCTGAAGACCTAACACAATAATCTTTTTTCTGTAAAACTCCTTCTGAACTGTCACAATGAATTTCATGTCCAATATACCCATTTCTATACAAACTTCCATTTGCATGCTGAAGGTAATATTGCTTATTTCTTTGCCAAAGTAAAAAGTGTTTATGAACTCATAAAATGGGAAATAATGCCATGGCAACTTGTTGGAAAAATACATCCAAGTGAGATTTAATTTTAATGCAATGGCAATGCAGGTGATAATAGCACCAGAAACACTTTGAAATAAAGTAAATTTAGAAAGGATGTTTACCAATTCTCAGTGTCAGTCGGTAATTACTAATTTTTTGCCTCTTAGAAGCAAACAAGATGAAAACCTTGAGATGAAGAACCCTCTCTGACTCAAATTCCTAAATTAAAGGGAGCAAAAAAACAGTGGCTAACTATAAGTAATCATGCACATTCACTTGCTCATTGTTTGTATGCAACTATAATAAATTTACAATTGATTCCTAAGCTGATGGCAGAGCAATGGAAGGCAAAAGAGCAACCGAGAATATAGAAAAATGGAAAATCTTTAAAGGTCCTCCCATTGCCTTTTGAAGCACATTTAACCACCCCAGTGCAAGGAGACTGGCACAATTCATGTCTTTTCCACAATGAAGATAAAGGAAGCTCAGTAAGCACAAAGACTGGCTATATAAGGTAGAAGTACAGAGAAATGCACAGCAAAATAATCGTCAGGGTCTGGGTCAGGGGTGGGCCAGGGTGAGCACTGAGGAACGTCTGGAGCAAAGGAAGGTCTGGATGTGTACAAAAGATGTGGATGAACACAAATCAAATCAAATAAACTTTTGCTGGAAGAACAAATTTGTGCAGGCAACTGGCAAAGCCTTGGACAAAAAGAAAAATGAGTGCTACCTGTTAGGAGCAGTCACAGCATCTTTTTGAAAGGGAAAGTGACACAATCAAAATGGAATTTGCTGCCAGGGATTTAGCTCAGAGGATCCGCCGCCTGCCTCATGAGCATAAGGACCTGAATTCAATCCCCGGTACAAAAAAAAAAAAAAAAAAAAAAAAAAGTTTGCTTAA